GACGTCACTGTGCCCAAAGGCAGGGATCTTTTCGAAACAACTTTCTGGTATACAATACTGGTCAGACAGAAATTCGGGTTTTCGCATTTATTTAGGAAACCAGAGCACTTTTTAGGGGATCTATTGGGAAATCGACAATATCTATGATAGGTACTAGTGAATAATTATTAAAATGTCATTACCTATCTTCAGTTGTCTTCTTACCGTGAGGTGGTCAGTCTGAACTGTGTTCACTTTGATTAGGTGAGTTGCGGGTATATATATCCCCAGCCCACCCTCTGAACAATATACCAATTAAATTCCTCGTCATTAATAACTCCTTTAATTACGGCTGTGACTCAATCTAGACAAACCCCACCTCTTTTCATTATGTTTAACACGATGTTTGCCTTATCTAAATCATGGACTTGTTTTACTCAAAGCTTCGAGTTGGTTTTGTTGATTTCAGCTTGTACACCTTCATAGATTAGGGGCTTACGATTAATCAGCTCCGAGTTCTTTCCTCCACACATAATGTTTTCTTAGTCCATGAAACCATTCTCAATCGTCTTGGACTTTCACCATTTTGTTTTTATAAGAAAGCTTAGAAGTGAGGTTTCTTTTAATAACAGAGACCTGAGACTCATACCTTAGAAATATATTCTAATAATCTTATGTTTGGTTTTGGTATGTAGCTGTGATGTTGTATTTAATCAATTTTATGCAAGATGGAAATATTTTGAACATTGCCTGTAGAATAAAAATCATTAGATTGTAAAAAAAAAAACATGAAATATAATAAACATCTGTTTTAAGCTGATATTTCTTAGTTCGTATACCTATAATATAAAGCACATGATGTCGATTTTTTAAAAACAAAGTATTATGATTTTTTTGAGTTCCTCATGTGTTTTTTTTCAAGGAAAATCCCCCAAAAGTTCGAATTTGTCAAAAAATATTAAACCAAAAAAAATAGTTCGATTTCATTCTTTATATTCCCAAAACAATATTTTGTGTTAATAAATGGGCCAGTACTATATTACTGTCATTATATTTAATTCGTAGTCAATAATTTATTAATGTTTAAATGTAAATGTGTGCAAATTTAATGTTACTGTGGATTTTCTAAGAAACTTCAATACAATTTTGCGGTTGCCTTTATTTTCTTAAAAAAACAAAAATATAAAGTATATGTTGTAATCTGGAACGAATCTTTTTTAAAGATTTGTCTGGATCATTCCACGTTGGTTTGTAAAGGAATAATGTATTTATTTATTTAGCTGATTGTGTTATAGTAACCGGGGTAGAATTTAAACTGATTTGTGAAACAGATTAACACCTATAGCAAGTAATGTTTATTTCATGTGTTTATTTTAATCGATAGGATTACCTTTACTTTATATCTTAGTGGCGGGTAATTTATAAGATACTAAATGGGGCAATGAAATGAGCATTAAGAGCTTATTGAGCCCTTATTTCTTATCATTATATACTTTTCATCATTTCGTATAGACGTATGTAGTGAGTGTGTTATATTTTGGTTTCTTTGTGTTTTGACATTGAGATTCACATTATTACTTATATAGATGCTCAATTCTCGTACGATAACAATAACAGTCAATATCAAAATCAGATTTTGTATTTGAACTTGGACTATTTTCAATAACAAGAACTCTTTATCAGCCAAATAAAAATTCAACTCGGTCAACTCTAATTTGATTTAGGATTATTTGCAGTTTACATGAGATTATAATTATTTCACTCCCCAGTTGAGTTTTTATTATTATTAATCTAACCTCATAACGAATAAAAAGATAATTCTGAATTTTTTAACATTTCTAAGTAAAAATCTAAGCGGTTTCTTTTTGTATTTGCTTAAAAATATCGAGGAGCTGACATAACAAAACATTTTATACATTTTGTGTAAAATGGTGCATATTTTGAATATGTTAATTATTGAGAAACTTATTTTTTGTTTTTTTTTAATAATCCAGACCATAAACCTTTACGTTTTCAGTTATTTGCATTTTACCCCACCCCATCCCTCTCATTTATACTTTAACACCAGCATGTGTAACAATGTGTTTAATATGTCATTGATGTGCATCGTAAAGTTTATTGAGGATGTGATATATGTATATGATGGTAATTCATTTACCTTAATTGATTACCGATATACTACTAATTAATTATGGTATAATTAAAACCAGCGGCATGTTTTACCGCGTGCAAAACAAGTAGCATCACGAAATTATGCTATTGCATTTTGAAAAAATTGCGACAACAAAAACAACAGATTTTTTATTTTTATATTTAGTTGAACAATGAAATGCTTATTGAAGGTTATTTGTATGTAGGGGGTTGGATGGCCGAATGGTTAGCACGTGCATGCTGTATCATAAGGCCTGTCATTGAGTCAACTGGCGTGGTTTCGAATCCCCGGTTGTACGTGACAAGGAGTAGGGTTACCTGTCCAACCTCGTGGGGTTTTTTCCGGGTACTCCGGTTTCCCCCCACTGCTAAAGACCCCTACGCGCAAGCGAATTATCGAAATAAAATTAAACCATATGTTAGTCCCGAAATAACCTAGTTTGTGTTGAGTGGACGTTAAACCTCATTTATCTCTCTCTATTTGTATGTATAATGAAATGAAGCGGTCTCAGTAACGGCCCCTGAGTAATCCCTTTTTCTTTTGACCTATAATACCTATTTTAAAAATAACGACAATCGTTTTCTGTACTTTTGCTGAACGACAACCATCTGAATTTAGCGACTTCTGCCATACTATAAGAATATCCACACATTTTATGCATTATGAAATATACATCATAGTTTTACCATTAAAACTCGTAAAATGAGACTAATCTTGTTTTATCCATATACATTCCTTTCTTTCTTCCGTATTTCACTTAACATTAATGATATGCGTTGAAAATATTTTTATGGCAAATTCTTGTTTTTCCATTTTTGCGAATGTTACTTTTTAATAAAAATTAATAATTGATTTCACAAAAATACAACATAGGGAAATATACGTAGATATTAATGATATGCGTTGAAAATATTTTTATGGCAAATTCTTGTTTTTCCATTTTTGCGAATGTTACTTTTTAATAAAAATTAATAATTGATTTCACAAAAATACAACATAGGGAAATATACGTAGAAAATATGGGATGAATTGTAATGCGAAGATATTGAATAACGAGATAAAATGTTTCTCAACTTTTACTGTGCAAAATTGGACTGTAATGCCAGGACCGTGGCAAAATGCACCAAATCCTTTTACCCAACAAGGATGTCAATACGACTTACACGCCTCAAGTAGTGTGGTTTATGCAGTGTATGCTCGCAATATAATAATATTAATAACAAACAAATAAACCAAAAAAATTGGTTTCTAATCAAATTTAACGAATTATTTAATATAATTAAAAGATAAAGATTTAATTGAAATCAAGGAGGAATAATGTGTATCCTCCCGGTCGAAACTTAACAATTAAAGAAAAGCAATGTACCTTTATATAAGAAGATTGTTAGAGCTTCTTGCATGGACATCAGTGGCAGACTGCTGAAAAGTAAATATTGTTGATGCTTGTGTCTTTCAAGGAATGTGTATTTGTCAGATATTGTGGGTATTCAGCTGATGCGACGCGGGATACATGATGCATACCCAGGACCAGATTAAGACTGTTCAAGACCACGCGGCCTAAAAAGATTATGGTGCCTCAATACATACTTAATTCAATTAAAAAAGATACTGAACCGTAAAATAAATTTATATCTTTCGAAATTAAACCAAGCATTAACAAAAATAATGTATGTTGATATTGAAAATTTGTGGATATTCATATCCCGTATGTCATATTAAAAGTTTGTAAGAATCCAGGGGTCGCGGCAGTCGAGCGGTCAGGACTGAGGATAACCTCGCAATGTTTCAATACCGGTTCTCATCTGCCAGGGATAGCGCCTGCGACGTCGCCAAGTAAAGCGTTGTCTAGGCGTTCGGATGGTAAGGCAATTTGTCCACCCATGTTCAAACAATTTCCTCACCGTAGAAAAACGTATGTTAGTCTAAAATTATTATGGTGACGAGACGATAAACCCCATTCCATTCCATGGGCGCTTTAAGAGCATATTATTTGTATTATTTGAAATGTGTGGTTTATTCTCCGAAATAACGTTTTATCCCGTGCGTGGACCATCTGAAAAACTTAAGTAGGTGACACTACTGAATTAGAACATTTTGATATATAAACACAGAGGTGGATGCAGGATATTTGGTTTGGGTGTGGGAGGGGGGGGGGGGCTTCCGAGAAATTTTATACTTTTACCTGGATCCACTCCTGTATAAAGACATACTTATACGGAGTGGAGAGCAACGTCAAGTTTCTTTTTGTATATAGATGGAAAAACCGAGTTGGATAGTGTAAATAATCAACTGGTAAGGGTTATGGGCTTTAAAAAAGGAACACAATTTTATTGCGAAAGTATACATATATACACAGATGACGTTTACAGCAATGAAGTAATTTAATACTGAATATGGACATAAAGTAAAGTGAAACAAATGATATCATAATAATCATCTCATTTATCTTTAGATACTTATAATTAACAACTAAACACGCTTCGGACGGAATATTCAATCCACATAATAATACACATTTGTTATAAACAAACAACAACTAAGCACATTTCAGATGGAATATACAATCAATATAGTAATACACACTTGTTATAAACAAAATACACGCAAATCGGATATAAATTCAGTAAATAATATATATATATTTACTGAATTTATATCCGATTTGGAATATACAATCAATATAGTAATACACACTTGTTATAAACAAAATACACGCAAATCGGATATAAATTCAGTAAATAATATATATATATATATATATATATATATAAACTATTGATATACATTTTACTGCGTCGGAGTCATAGATACTCATATTTACAATATAGGTATTTATATATCATGATATCATGCTAATTTATTTTTAAAGGTACCATGTAAGATATTACATATAAATCATGGTTCAGAATTAAACAATTACCTAAATGAATTATTTAATCATTTTAAAGATAAGGGGTCTCCTGTTATGATGGGTAAGTGTATATATAGTACTCTTCAATTTTAATATCATACATGTTCACAAATTGCTTCATTTTTCTAAAACAATATTTTTATGCAGGATATCTGAATGGGATTCGGGAACAGACTTATCCTATGTAAAACCCCTCTCCAAACTTCAAATGAGTTACACGCCACCAGGGGATGGTGGATGGCCGAATGGTTATTGCGTGCGCGTCGTGTCATAAAGGCTTGTAATTGAGTCAACTGGCGTGGTTTCGATACCCCGGTTGTACGCGACAAGGAGTAGGGTCTCCTGTCGAACCCCGTGTGTTTTTTCCTTGTCCTCCGGTTCCCCCCACTGCTAAAGACCCCCTACGCGCAAGCGAATTATTGAAATAGGATTGAACCATAATGTTGGTGTCGAAATAACCTAGTATGTGTCGAGTGGACGTTACACCCCATTTTAGACCAGGAGCCCAAGGGATCAAACTAGCTGAAAAGTGTACCAATTTTCTCCTATATGGTATCAATGCAAGCATATCTTGTATGATCAGAATGTAAGTCTGCCGGGTATCTGGTGGTTGGTGTGGTATTCCACGCCTAAAATGCCATACCCTCTAAAGTGTTCCACATGAAAATCGTACAGCATTGTACTGTACATCTTCAGGTATTACAAAACACTCTGCCGGACATTTCTAGTAGTGGGGTACCCTTGACCGAGCCATGTAATTGCCAGACATTTGTAGTTGGGGAGTATCCGATTAGCGGCCAGGAAAAAAAATTAAAATTTGTTTGAGTATATCTCATTTGTGATAATTATAAATAAAGGCAGATGTTATTTTCAAAACCAGGTTTCTCAATGCGTAGAGTTAGTTACTTCAAGATATACCCAAAACCCTGTTCGGGATCTAGGTTATACATGAAATGTGGTTGATTGTGTGATGTATTTTGCACGGCTTCATATAATATGTTTTTGGTGTTTTTACTTTTTATACGTCCACATTCATAATGTGAACGTATTATGCCGTCGCCCCTGTCTGTGTGTGTGTGTGTGTGTGTGTATGTATGTATGTGTGTGTGTGTGTGTGTCTGTGGTTCGCCTACAGGGCGCAATTCTTCATGGATTTTCTTCAAACTTGGTATACTTATTCCTTATACCCCAAGGAAGATCCCTATTGTTTTTGGTGCATGCCCGACCCCCCGGGGCAGAGCCACGCCCATTTCTAGTATTTGTTTGTTTGTCGTCTACAGGCCACATTTCTTAACTAATAATCTTGAAACTTTGCATACACATTCTTTGTACCCTAAGGAACATCCCTATCGTTTGGGGTGCATGCCCAACCCCCAGGGGCAGAGCCACGCCCATTTTCTTTTCGTGTGTCTTTGTGTCGCCTACAGGGCGCAATTCTTACTGGATTTTCTTCAAACTTGGTATACTTATTCCTTATACCCCAAGGAAGATCCCTATTGTTTTTGGTGCATGCCCGACCCCCAGGGGCAGAGCCACGCCCATTTCTAGTATTTGTTTGTTTGTCGTCTACAGGCCACATTTCTTAACTTATAATCTTGCATACACATTCTTTGTACCCTAAGGAACATCCCTATCGTTTGGGGTACATGCCCAACCCCCAGGGGCAGAGCCACGCCCATTTCCCATTTTCTTTTCGTGTGTCTTTGTGTCGCCTACAGGGCGCAATTCTTACTGGATTTTCTTCAAACTTGGTATACTTATTCCTTATACCCCAAGGAAGATCCCTATTGTTTTTGGTGCATGCCCGACCCCCAGGGGCAGAGCCACGCCCATCCCTTATATTTATTTATTTGTTTGTCATCTACATATCGCATTTCTTATCGTATCACCTTGAAACCTAGCATACATATTCCTTCTATCCTAAGGAACATCCCTATTATTTGTGGTGAATACCCAACCCCCAGGGGCAGAGCTACGCCCATTTTCTTTTTTTATGTCTGTGTGTCACTTGCAGACCGCATTTCTTAATCGATCATCTTGAAAACTTTTTTATACTTATTCCTTATAGCCTAAGGCTACTTTTTATACTTATTCCTTAATCCTAAGGCCGACCTCTATTATTATTTTTGGTGCATGCTCGACCCCTTGGGACAGAGCTACGCCTAATGTTTGTGTGTCTTGTGTTTTGCCTACAGACCGCAATTCTTAACAGATCCTTTTGAAACTTTGCATACCTATTCGAAACGTCATGCTTTTAGAATAAAGACATCGATTGTTTTAAAATAAAAAAATTGTGTTCTGTTAATGTGAACGAAGTGTTAAACTGATAGCAGTCCTACAACCCAGTTTTAATTCACAGACCCTCAAAGCAAACTGGACCATATCAAACAAAACAGGAATGTGGACGTATATTGCTGCGTTAGCGATGCTCTTGTTGTATACAAGGTGGGGAAACTGACAATTCTTCTAAAGGTATTATGGGTGTATGTAAAGAGCCACCTTCATTACTGATAGTGGTATGTAAATTTAGTTTTTAATCCATTATTTAGTTGTTAATCCATTATATAGTTATTAATAGTGAGAGGTATCGTACAGACATTACGTGCTTATTATTTCTTGAACACAATGTCATATATTTCAGAAATGTGCAAGTATATCCATTATAATTCATTTAAACAGGTCCATGTCTCTTTTGTTTTGGTGGGTGACCCCGGCTTTTACACCAGACTCTCGGTCTTAGTAGCCACATGTTATGACTAATATAGTCTACGAGACAGGGTATACTTTTTCTTTCTAGAGTAACGGTTACCGTTTTTCATATATTAGGCGGCGGGGGGGGGGGGGGACACGGTAGCTCAGTGAGTAAGGGGCTGGCTCGCTAACAATAAGGTGCTGTGATCCATCCTACGAAAAACCGAGGTCTCGTGTTCATTTTGGCGTAGGCTACATGTAAAACAACTATTGCCAGAACGTATGCCCATCTTCATTAGACCTCTGGGTGCAGAAAAGTAGGACTTTAAACCCCATTCCATTTCACATGTTGGAAGTTCCACCCTTTCGTGACATGGTACCATTAATACTTCCCTACACCACGAGTATTATGGGTCCATAGATTTACCCAAAACAACACAAAACAACTTTAATTAACCAAAACAATCTGTATTATGAATAAAACAACACATTTTTATTATTTGTTCTTTCTATTTGTATGCATAATGATTAATATTCCCTAAACTTTACTTTTCCGACGTGTTTCCCCTTGTCAGTGGTGCAGACGGAGACCTGACAAGGACAGCTGTCTATAAGTGTTCGGGTGGGACGAAAAACCGAGGTCCCGTGTATAGGCTACATTGGAATGCACGTAAAAGATCCCTTGACAGTTTGAATTCGATATAAGAGTAGGCCATAGCCCATAGCGCCGCTTCCCGGGCAAAATGTCCTTCATAGCACACTTAATGGCGTATGCCCGTCTTCATTATCCCAGTCGGAGCAGAACAACAGAACGTTAAATTTCATTTCATTTTCTTAAACTTTACTCAATTTTTAATAGTATTTCTAAAAAAAAACGGAAATAAGCGGAAGATCAAAGCAAGAAAGACAACTCTTATTGTTATCGAAATAGGAACGGGTGGTTTCTGTGTAAGATCAAGCAGCTCTTTATTTAGTGTTCTTCTTAATGATAGTCCTTAATTCCTATTTTTTCATTTGTTGTCGTATTTGGACAGCTGTATACCAAAATTTACATTCAACTTAAAATCAACATTTGTTTTACAAACAGACATTTTTCATGTCCGATTTGTAAATTGTATCTTGTTTACAATTGTATTTTAATGTACAACGAAAAACAACCTCGAACCTACAACGATAACAATAAGAGTCTTTCATGCTTTGATCTTCCATTTATTCGGAGTTTTTTTTTCAGAACTTTAAAAAAAATAGAGTAAAGTTTATGGAATATTAATGTGTTTTAATATACAACGAAAAACAATCTCGAACCTACTACGATAACAATAAGAGTATTTCTTGCTTTGATCTTCCATTTATTTCGGGGTTTTTTTTTCAGAACTTTTAAAAAATAGAGTAAAGTTTAGGGAATATTAATGTCTTGTTTTATTCAAATACTGGTTGTTTTGGGTTGTTTCGAGTAAATCTATGCTCTACCATTTCTTCTGTCACCGAAACAATGGAGTTTTGACGATTTTTAAACCTTTGGGGTGAGTTATTTGCCCCCTCGACGTATTTCATGACATTTCAGTAGCACTCTTCTTGTCTCTCTTTGTTTAGCTCCGACGTATTTTTCGGCGAGTGCCTGGCAGCCCTGTTACCCTGAGAAATAAAAATCACCTCACCCTCTTCCAGTCTGATAGCAAGAATACGTTCAACCCTTTCCACCACGCGTGCCATACAAAGTTCAGTTAATTAAAACCGTACATCAAGAATCTATTGTACTACTAGTATGCTAGAAGTGGTATCAAGTAATCTGTTGATTCATATATATATATTTTTTTAATATAGGATCCACACTATTCAGGCCCACCGTTATCGAATACAGATTTACAAGATAGAGGTTGGGCACATTGGAAGAATATTGAGACGTTTTCAAGTGATTCATTTTATAACTTATGTTTACCTCAGATTACATCATCATCCATATCTCCTTGATAAACTAAACACAATTCCATATTATCTGCCCTTGTCATTGTGACACAGCTTTTTGGCGAAGTTTAGAAAGATACAATATATCCGTTTGGAAACTGTAAAATTTAGTACTTTCGGTACCAAATCTGTAACGTTGTGCATTGTGCTACCTTGGTAGTTTTAAAGGTTTGGATTTACGATCAAATGATTGATATTGCTCATCGTGTATATGTCCCTGCTTCTATATAATAAACAATACACAACATGTTTTTTTTTTAAATACCCTCTGAAAATCCACGGTGAATAACTTTCTGTGTATAATGATTAGCTCAACAAACTGGCCTTGTTAGAATATACTATCTAATTTGTCGGATAAACATCAGCCGATCATACATGGAATGCGGCATTTCTTAGATCAGATTTTCATTTGAAACGTTATGAGACCAAATTAAATGAAGAAATCGTGTGACTATTATACATATATTTAGGAAGCTTTTCACTCTGGGTGGTAGAGGCGTGCCTCCTTCTCTCTTTAACGTATTTCGTCCATGTTTCTCACGAGCTCGACTTTGTATTTTACTTAAAGATACATTGTGTAAGATTTAGATAAAGAACTAGCTATTCTTGCTATAATAGTTCGAAAGTAGATGATGTAAAATGAATAATTTGAAAATTTCATTCAAATTACTCTATTGCAATAATTTCAACCACCGTACTGATTGATCGAAGCTAAGTCTCGGTCCTCCATATTTGATTAAATCAAAGTATCGCTGAACCATTCTAATCTTTTTAATATCGGAGAAATCTGATGCCATCGAGAGTTAATTAAGGCCTGGATCAGTTAATTAATGTCTAATTAATAATTTAGATAACATTTCAGGCCTAAAGAAAGACCTGCAATAGGCAGATTTAGCTCTTGCATAATGCATGTTTAATTCGAGGGTCTTCACTTTTCAAGACACCACGAATTGGCGTATACATGCATATTCCTTTCTTGATCGCGAATAGACCCGTCACCCTGTCTATCAAATCTTATTTTTTCCGTTTGTTTTTCATTGCGATGTATTCACGCCATCGTTTTAATAAGCTCTTTAACACTGAATATTGTGCGAAAAGACCCGTCACCCTGTCTATCAAATCTTATTTTTTCCGTTTGTTTTTCATTGCGATGTATTCACGCCATCGTTTTAATAAGCTCTTTAACACTGAATATTGTGCTGGATCTTTTGAAAATCCAGCTCCAGGAACAACTTACATTCTATGTCTCCCTCCTCCCCCACCCCTAATACCTGAAAACCTTCGTAATAACGTTTATCTTGGAATGAAGGTCTATCTATATTTCACGGGTTTTTTTCATATTATTCAACATAATTTTGTTTACGCTCATACATGACGTCAATACGGATCTCGATGTTCCTAAAAGTTACAATGTCTTGAAATGACTTTTTATTCGGTCATATTCCAGTAAATAACAAGTATCATGTTTGTACGAATGGTTTATCTCCTATTTGTTACAATTACATGTGTGTTTATAGATGTGTGAGAAATTAAAACCACAAACGTGCCATGAAACGAGTAAACAAACAAAAAACAACAGAATTGATGATATATTCTAAAATTATCATAAATACATTCTCAATTTAGTAGGATTAACATAAATTAAGTTGGGGTGTATCTGTCATATAAATATGCATAGTAGATATTTTTCCAACAGTGTATAAACATTTTGGAACCTCTGAAATAAACGTCTGAAAAAAATACACCTTCAAAATTATGTACTGTTAAACATGGCGGTATAATACAAAAATCAAAATCAGTGTTTTATGTAAGATTTAGGAATTAACGTAATAAGTTAACCCAAGTTGCGATACTTAATATATTCAGTTGTTTAAAGATTGCCTTTTTAAGATTTAGATACAGAGATTGTCGTATTTGGTATAGTAGTTTAAATATAGATAATGAAAAATGAATGAGTATATTGAAAACCCCAGTCCTTCAATCGCGAGTGGCAGCCATATTATCGTTTAACAAAGATATGGCGGGCATTGTCGGACCCACTCAATATCTAAGCCATCCGATGGCCCGGAAAGTTTATAATGGGCTTGCCATGTGAATAAAATGTCTAAATAATAATTTATATAACATTTGCAGCCAGAAAAAGACGTAATTTCTCTTTAACGATGGGACTATTAAATGGGAATTAGCGCCTAAGGGTGTGGTTTGACGTGATTTGACCGTACATGTACATCGGTGATGTTCAAATTAGATTGCTTGCAAATCTTGAGACAATTTGCTTTGTCATCGTTGAATTTACTTTCAATTTACGAATCTTAAACATTTTAAGCGGCATTTTTGTTTTAATTTCTTACTCCAACTAGGCCATTTCTAGATTTTTCAACAATAATTAGTCCAAGTTTATTTTGATTCATATTCTTCTCGCGAATGATAACGCCCTCTGTTATGTCTTAAAAACAGCTTTACTTACTTCAAATACGGATGGATCAGGATGTTCATATCTAGGAGATGTAAGATTCGTGGTAAAAGCCCAACCAAAGCCATTCAGTTTGCCTTTATTGTATAGTAAAAATGCAGGGAAAAACGCTTGACAGTCTGTATCTGTTCTTGCATCATACCAATAATGCACACCTGTTACAAAGAAAGCATATTAAGATTACAATGTTACAAACATTAAAGAGGGACTATCAATTCGACCATCTTTGCCGACCGGTGAAATATAATGTACAAACAATAGATTAAGTGCAAACTTTCTGCGAGGATTAAAAGTTAAATTAGAGAATTCTAAAAATTACCCATTCCAGCGAAACATTTTCCTTTCTTCCATTTCGGGTCTCCAATGGCTGCTTCATCTCTGGGTATCAGCATATGATCAGTTTCTGGACTGTTGCCGTTTTGAAAATAGAGATTGGTTCCAGTTCCAGAATCCTCGAAATCACTACTGCTTCTACCAGTCTTACATATTGTAGCTGCGAAAAAATAGCATAACAGAAACTTGAACTACGAAGTAGCATTGACATGGTTCCATACATATACATCCGTTTAGCAAAAGAAGCATAAGATCTGTAAAGATAGCCACACAATACATGGAATACGCCTACACACCAGCATTGTCTCAATTGCAGCTTATCCGGATCATGGATCTTTGAAGAAATCTGATCTCCAGGGTTCATCTTCTCATGACCCCAACGAAACCTATCGCGTTAACACGTTTTTTTTTGGCACTGAGCGGAAGGCTGTTGATTATGATGCTTCAAGCCAAATATGAAAAACTATAGCCTCTATCGCGTTCACAAGGTGTTTCGGAAAAGGAGGCATAACCCCAGAAAGTCGCGGAACGCTGAATATCGATATGGTTCATCCTCTTATGACCCAATGCTTCATACCAAATTTTAGAAAAGCCGTTAAAAATTATAGCCTCTATCGTGTTCACAAGGGGGATGACTCCGGAAAAGAAAGACACAGAACGCTTGATGTCGATAGGGTTCATCCTCTCATGAACGCAATGCTTCCCACCAAACTTGAAAGACATCCGTTAAACATATCGATGACTATAGCCATTATCGCGTTCACAAGGTGTTTCGGAAAAGGGGGCATAATCCCAGAAAGTCGCGGAACGCTGAATATCGATACGGTTCATCCTCTCATGACCCCAATGCTTTATTTCAAATTTTACAAAATCTGTTAAAAATTATAGCCTCTATCGTGTTCACAAGCCCATATCGTGCTCACAAGGTTTTCGACAAAGGGGTGATTACTCTGAAACGGAAAGTTGTGTAAAGCAGAAAATCTCATGACCGCAATGCTTACATACAGATTTGAAAAATAAATCCTTAAAAAAGTAGCCTCTATCGAGTTCATCAATTTGTCAGGTAAAGGGAAAAAACTACGGAACGGAAAGTCAGACAACACTGCATATCGATAGGGTTCGTTAAAAAAATGTAGCCTTCTCGAGTTCATAAATTTTGTCCCGTAAAAGGGAATAACCCCGGAACAGAAACTAGGATATCGCGGCAGTCGACAGTGTTCACACCAAAATTGAAAACTGTGGGGAATATATCGTGTTGACAAGCCAATCTGTTAAAACTGTAGTTTATCTCGCGTTCACAACATTTGCGGCAAAGGGGTATAACGCCGGAACGGAAAGTCGTGGACAGCTAAAAAAATCGATAGGGTTCATCCACTCACGAAAACAATGCCTACAACCAAATTTGTTCACAAGCCAATTGTTGTGGGGCGGCCGACCAACCGACGGACTGGGTGACGAAATATGGGCGTATACAAATTAAGAATAACACTATATAAAATAAATATGCCTCATTGGAGGCGTTCCTATACACTGTTAGAAATATTTTGGTTATTTTACCCTAAAATTACGGGCAGCAAAAATTGCCCCTAAATCATAGGTAAAATTACACCATTAGTTATTTAACAATTTACTGTAGAAGGACATATCTGTTAATTGACATTTCTTGTAAAAATACATCACAATGTTAATTTACATTTCTTGTAAAAATACATCACACTGTTAATTTACACTTTTGTTAAAAATACTAATATTGGTAATTTTACATGCAAGATTCGAGCAATAGCCCCGGTGTAAAATATTTCGTATTAATATCCCTTCAATATATATTGAATATCGATAATCCTGTTTGGTAGACGAGAGCATGGTTCCAGGCTTTCAGATGTAAGCTCGCGGTACTATCTATTTGCAGGCATTATAACCCTGCTTACAGACAGTCCGGCCCAACTATCACTGGCCAATCGGTTTAATTTACCGCCTTCAAGTGAACTTGAAAACGAGATAATACAACCTACGGCCGGAAAGTCAAAACATTTTTTTTTATGCATTTAAGAAAATACTTACAAACTGATTAACGTACGCTGAATATCAATACACTTTATAGATCTTATAAATAATGGAAACTAGATATACATGACATGCAATACACTAAATTTACAAGATGTGATTGTCCATATTATGGTTAATTAATTGAAATGAATACCATAAGAAGATACTTATTAGGAATGTTTCCTTTCTTTGGAATACTAAAATACAATAAGAGATAGTAAATTTACCGAATAAGTAAATTTACCGAATAAGTAAATTTACAAAATAACGTGAATAAACGTAAGTCTGTAAAATGACATGCTGGCTATGTTATTTTCCGTTCAATATTTTAAGGTAAAAACAAATTCTTTAACTGCTGTAATTTTACTTATATTTCTTACCTAAAAGTAAATTACATAATAATGTGAACAAACGTAAAATCTGTAAAGTAACACGCTTGCTGCGTTACTTTCAGTTCAATTTTATTACATTATATGTATTTTTACAGGATTTTGAATATGTCCTTGATTCCATCGCCACTTATTGTCAAAAAGACATGAAACTCGATAAACATACTTGAAACTCGGTAAAAATACATTAGACTTGGTAAAAGTAGTATATGTTGTAAAATATAGCGATAATTGAGGTACAAAAAACCCTTGTACTACTGTAATTTTACATACTTTTCTGACAGTTTACCTGGTGGTTGTCGTAACATCATTTGCTATTTGGTTGGGGACTTCAACGGTCACTGTTAATTGGTTGCGTGTTGAGAAATGTTAACAAAAATATTTCAAGGTTTGCTTTCATTACTATTGAATAAAACATTTCTGTGATTTCAACATTTTACGACAACCAATTTGGGCTACGGTACATCTTCCTATAGTTTGAATACACTGAACATTACTGTATTTTGACGTTACGTATGTAAAAATAAATTATTTCACGGTAAAATCACCTGTATAATATGTTTTTTTTTACGACTATTTGTACTATCACTCCTGTTTGGTGTAATAAAACATACATTTGTAAAATAACATACAACTACGTAAATATTTTACCACATTCTTACGGTAAATTAACATTTATTTCTAACAGTGTATGCCAATCTAAAGCATAAATCGTGAATATGTCTGGTGTGGGTTCTTAGAGAGACATTTCGGGATTGTCAATAAACTGAAATAAAATACTTTAGTATTAACTTACATGGATCAACAAAGTAGGCCGTTATATAGTTGTAACCATTCTCGTGTATAAATGGTGGTTTGATCCCATCAAAGGGATATTTATTTTCTTGTCCGTCTGGTACCTGGAAAATGAATGTAGATTTGATATTGTATGATAGAATGAACACTTATTTGTTGAATAAAATGATTAAAGGAGCTAAATCACTATTCTTTTGTACCTAGAAATGGACACAAATGGGTCGCAACGCATATGATAATGTAATATGAATACATTTATAGATAAACCGATTTACATTCAGTCGTTTCTGTTTTTACCGTAATTTATAATTTCTAGTTATGTTCGGCGAAATACGCGAAGAGTGCAAATGAATGACAGTCTTTGGCGTCTGTTTATTCCAGTCTACACCGATAGTATTCTCCTGTGGGATATGTTTAGCTTCATTACAAATGACACTCGAAAGCGTTCTAGTACGCGATTCGTGCGCCAATTTTAAAATTTTTATTTTGTTTTAAATATTGGACATCAGAAACCCACCTTTTCACGGTAAGATAACAGCATCAATGTTGATTTAAATTGACCAATACCTCGTGTTTGCAATGTCGACGAATGTCGATGATATTGAGTTAGTGACTTACCTCCTTTAACATTAATGAAACTTAAAGTTCAATACGATACACAATAATTACCCCAGCTTGTATTCCTGCGATGTAACCTTGGACATCATATAGCAGAACAATAGCATAGTCACCATCTTTCACATAGCGGTTTCCTCTAAAACTATCTGTAAATTAAAGAGCACAAGGGAATAATACATAAACAGTGTGATATTGTTTGTATCAATTACAGCAATGTACAATCATGCTTCTATATCAAGCAAGAACTGCAATTTACAAAAACAACTATGAGTGTCGGATTAACATTCCAGGGTACTATAGCATTATATTATCTTTGATCCAATAAATATGAGTAGCTTGCGATTGCCTTAATAATACGGAGGTTCGTTTTTAGCTAATTTTCTGGGGACATCATTATACTACCCTAGACGTTGCACTTTGCAAAATGACACTTAATTCCAATTGAATATTTCAGCGAATATTCGCTGATATAAATACCATAATATAAACAAGAGCAACAGATGCGTAACGAGGTCCATCCACAAGGAACCTAGTCAAAACTGGTACCGAGTCGAACCTCCAACCCGTCAATCATTTTCGTTCTGACCTTTTCTGATGGAGATAAAATATAGGCATATTTGTATAGAAGGGTATCGCTGCCAATATTAAATGCTCTGCGACAATGTCGTTTCCATTGATTATATGTAAAAAGTACAATGTACAAAGTCCTAATACCGATATTGATAAAGTCAAAATACATCTAATATAATTTAATTATAACTTTTACTACAGTTTTACAACTTGCTAATGCTAAATGTGGAAAAAGTAATAACCAACCTATATCTTCACAACCAGATATTTTTGTGAACTTATTTTCAACAGCATCATCTACAGTCCTCGGTAGGGCGTCAAAGTTTGATTCAAGTGGATTTAAACCAAACCTCACTAGAATATAATATAATATAATATAATTGACGACACCAATACATATTATTTTTATTTTTCTAGACAATATTTAAAAATACATATTATTAGATATGTAAGATCACCATTATTGTGCCGGCATTGTTGATTTGTATTTGAAACTTACCTCTTAGAGCGTTCCAATCTGAAAGTAGAAATAATTATGTATATATTATATGGCATGGTGATTCCAAAACGATGCTAGTGTTAAACATTTACTCCTGTATTCTTGCACAAAGATTTTATGCAGTTCAATGCTTAGAGTTGCATTTTGTACTTGTGCTAAATCTGCCTATTGCAGGTCTTTTGTTCTGAGTTTCAAATAAATTAATAAGACATAATCAACTCTCTAGACTATCGGATGTCCGTGGTTAGGTATTGAGTTGATTCTAACATATGCGCCATTTAATAACTGAACGATAAAATGGATAATATAGACATTGTCTAATGATACTTGAAAAAACTTCAAATACTCAGACTAAAGTAATTTGACTGGAATTTTCAATATATTCATTTTACATTATATATTTTTGACTATTATACCAAGAACTACCAGCACTTTATCTAAATCTTACATAACAATTCTTTAAAGAAATAAAGAAGTTGTAATCAAAGTCCCGAAAATTATTTTTAATGATGTCCGCAATATTGCTTATATACTTACTATCTCTTGAAAAGTAATCTACCAAGTTAAAGAAGAAGGCATTGGTAGCTGTGACTGTTGTCAATATGACTAAAAAGGTGAAAGTCTTCATCGTAAACTTATATTTTTACAAATGATGTAGGATTTTAAAATAATAATGCATTTTATTAGCTCTAGTTTACAAACACCTGTATACTATCTTCGTGTTGTTTATTTTACGTTCTCGTGTTTTACTTATACAAATACTATCACCGGTCTGTTTGTGTATTCATACAACTGTATCTATTTACTTTACCGAACGATATAAGAAGCATGACAAGTGGCTTCTCTCTCACAAATCTGCATTGGAAAACACAGTGTATTTTTGTTATCAAGATGTCCCGAAATAAGCACAAGGCCGTCCCAATCTGACCAATCGTGGTGAACTCAACTACAGAAAGTGTTTACGTGGCTGATGTAGGAAATGGATAGTAATGTAATCATGTTTCTACATGCTGGCCATTAAAGATAAATTAGTTAAGAGTTTAATAAAGAGTTCGCCATTCTTGCTAAAATAATTCAAAAATAGATGATAAAAAAGGAAAATATTGAAAATTTCAGTAAAATTACTTTATTGTCACTGTTGGAAGTTTGGACTAGAAATAGACATCAACTGTGTCCGCATCGTCTCCGAGAATTGTCGATCGTTTGATTGACAGATAACTCCACCCACATATTCTCGATTATCAAGTAACATTCTCAGTGGCTATCGTACCCTCGCTTGGTAGGCCTTTCATCACCAGTTTCCGGTAGTGACGTCAGTGACTAACGGTAAACGTTAGCTTGGTCGGCCATTTCTTGATTTAATTTTAAATGGACGACTGTTTAAATCCAAGTTGTATCCAAGTCATCTGAGGGTCTGCAGCGTTAATATTGAGCTTGTCATGTAAATAAAGGTCTAATTAATAATTTCTATAACATCTGAAGCCTAAATAAAGACTTGCAATAGGCAGATTTAGCTCTTACATAATGTGTGTTTAATACAAGACCAAGCGGTTCGAGACCCAAAGTCATTTACATATTCTTGTTTATTGGAAATATATTATTATATTATTAATTGCAATAAGATTCATATAATTTTGATATTTTTGTAGAGAATCAACCATTATGAGTCCGAGTCGATGGAAGGGTGTTCTTTTTTTGGCAATGAGACTTCACAGGACGCTTTCTTATTCCGACGTTAGTGTTTCCATTTCATGAAATTTGTAATTTTTGTGATATAAGAATTCTTCTGTACGATGACACTGACAAAACGACACGTGTCATCTTTGAAATTATGTTCAGCAACTATTAATTACGATAACTTATACGTTTATTAATCGAGGATGTGTTCTGGGATTATTATAAGCTTGTTGTGTAAATTTTAGGTTAAAATGTTAGTTTTGACAGCTATTATTCTTAGACTGTTCGATGTTTTTGAGAATTTTATCACTTATGACCTTTCCAAATATGTATGCCAGATATAACCTTTATTTATATCACTTTTATGTTGGGCCTTGTGTCCAAAATAGTACCGCCTATCAATGTTACATGCCGATACACGTCTATTGTTTTGTGAACACGTTTGAGTGAATACGTCGTAGAGAAGTCGGTGGTGTGCCTATCTTTAATAAATATGCAGATGTAGATGTTACCATAGAGAGAGAGAGAGTAAAGATAAATTTGTGTTGATAGAGTTTTTGGTTTATTAACATAACACTGTGTACAACCCGAAAATTAGAAGAGAAATTTGTGAGTGTAATGGGAATTGTTTTCTCGGGTGATTAAAGACCTACATGAAAGCGTTATAATCTGCATCTTCTTAAAACCACCCAGCGTGATACATGATTCGGATCATACCTCCTTTCATTTTGTTAGCCACGAATGTAGCCCTTGCCATTTCTGTCTTTGTCTCTATCGGTACAATTTATTGAGCACAACAAACTTCACTGTGAACAGCTCAGCATAGGTAATCTACGAATCTTGCGGCCTTCACTCCCAGGTAGATATTTCAAAAAAATACGTGGTACTATATAGTTTATGTAACTAGTCTTTGAATATCAGAAATACGTTTTAAAGGTGGAGTGACCGTGTCTCATTACCCGTGTATAGACAGTTTTTTTTGTGTAATTATCCCTCGTAACATTTTTTATATAAACATTATTTTATTGAATTTCAAGATTGGGAAACATACAAAGACTAATATAATCCTCCTCCCCAAAATTTTACATGCGTACTCAAAAAAGATCAAAAAGTTATGTACACTATGTACAATAATATAATACAGAAATAATGGCGTAACCTAATTTTTTAATAGCCCGCGAGCGAGTCACTTGATCGCATCTGCAAAGGGCTTGTTATGTTCGTAAATATCGATTTGTCATGTTATCATGCATATTCACTTGAGCTGAGCTATAGTCAATAAACTGGAGGACTTAATTTGTACATTCAGAAAAACGACCAAGGGTGCCCGGGTGGCATCACTCATTTTCTGGTTCTACAAATCTCACAAATGTAGAAACTGCAAATTGACCTTTCACTGCTGGACTATATGTCATTTTTTTTATATCCCATATTGGGTGCAGTTTGAAGAATTTCCATTCATTTGATATACTAGTCTAGTAGCTGAATTCTGGAGATTCAGAATTTTTAGATCACTTTTATGCGTAGATTTTGATTCTAGGTGGTGGTCAAGCTGTGGTCATGTAAAAGCAAGTGCAGAATTAATCAAAACTATGCATAGGCTTTTACAATATTATTCTCGATATATTGATCTCATGACAGCCAGTTCTTTTTATGAAGCAGGTTTCGATTCGAACTGATATCTTGCCACTGTGTCATATAACAACCCTTCGTCTTCACAGGAATTATCTGTGAACTAAAAACTGTCTGAGTAGCTATTATCGATCTTTACGATTTCTGCGTTACTTTATTAGCAAAGATGTCAATGTTAAAATTATATTTCTAATGCGCTTAATCAGTTCTTGCACATAAAAAAATAATATAAAATGTGTGGATACATGATATTTTGGTTCCCGCTGAACTCTTTTTTATGTGTAATACATTGTTGTCTACGAGATATAGGCGGATGTAGCCAGACCTTAAAGGAGCTAAATCGCTAATATTTGGGACCTCGAAATTGACACAAATGGGGCGCAACGCATAACATAATGTAATATGAATGTATATACATTGATCTACATTCAATCGTTTCAGTTTTACTTTAATTTCAAAACATTCGAATGGCAATCACTAGCGTCTGGATATTCTAGTCTACACCGATAGTATTTATTGTGCATGCACTTCAGATAAGAATATGACGTCACCGTTTGACATGACTCGTGGAATATGCCTAGCCTCGTTCTTCGAGTCCCTTGTTACAAATGGCGCTGAAACCTGTACCAAAGGTAAAATGTTTTTGTTTTTTTGGGTTTTTTTTTTTTGTCTTAAATATTGGATATCAGAAGCCCATCTTTTCCCGGTAAGATCACAACATCAACCTCAACTGTACTGTAGTTGCTTAAATTAATTGGTCACGTGGAAAAATCAACACAAATGACGTCCAAGTGGAAGAATACTCTATTCCACAAGTACTACAAAATGTATTTGATTTTTAATATAAAAAAAACAACAAAAAAACGCACGAACTCTTAATACGTTAACAACTTTACTTAAAGGGTCAATCTCGATAATATTTTGGAGAATAAAACTGCTTAATTCTGTGTTAAAATCTCTTAAAATCCTTTACCTTAGGGCCGAGCAACTAACTCAACATATGAGATAAGTTTTTAAACAACTTAAACCCGTCAGTCTCCATCTAGAAATGGAGACAGGTATCCCAAGCTGTATTATGTGGTGTCAAGGTAAAAAACAGACTTTTATTTTATAAAAGTAATGTGTAGGTGAAATTTACCTTTCGTTGTCAAGTACAGCACATGGGTCATTTATTGTAAAGACATTAAAAGGATCAGGAATCGATAACAGGTGACCCAACGAAAAAATTGACCCGAAATCTTAAAAGAGTTACGTGTCCGAATAAGCAGTTTTGACGTTCACGTCCAAACGACTCAATATTTTGAGCTAGAATTTTGAGACAAGGTAAAAACACAATATGATATTTTATTCGCAGTGCTTTGCCCAGGGCCTATAATCCGGTTAAGTTGGCCCTGATGTAGGTAATGCACAGTTTCATAACAAAAGGTGATCTAATAGGATTTGTATTGGACTCTACATTTTTTCTCTTTAAAACAAGTGAATAAAAAACAAACAAACCATGAAAATATTTTTAATATTAGCAGAAATTTAGCCTAGGAGTAGCAGTCATATATATATGCATGGTTGCAATTGGTCCTACGTTATACAAACATGTTGGTACCTCTGACATAAATGACTGAAAAACAAAACAATATCAAAATGTACTTCAGTTAAGATTTTCACTCTCAAACTATACGGTCATATCACTGGTGAATAAGAAATAAAATTTAATTTAAATTATTTCATTTCATAATGCTAGGTTCCAACTACCACGACTCGTGCTGCGATTGAAATACGTGACGTAAAATTACGTGGACGAAAAAAATATCATGGCCTGAAAATCAGTTTTACTTACTTTAAATTGGGAGGGTTTAGGATGTTCATATCTAGGAGATGTAAGATTCGTGGTAAATGCCCAACCAAATCCATTCAATTTGCCTCCATTATATAGCAAAAACACAGGAAAATAACTTTCACAGTCTGTATCTGTTCTTAAATCGTACCAATAATGTTTTCCTGTTACAATTAAAAAAACACAAAACTTACAAAATATCCTTTATCCATTCACCTGTGGATACCACAAAACAATTTGTTTTTTATCCACCAGTACCGTTTAAATAGCACAAACCATTCATTATTTACTCACAGTACCGTTTGGAAAGTAGAAAACCGGCATTACAAAACATGCATTATTTACCCACTAGTACCGTTTGGATAGTACAAAACATTCATTACAAAACATGCATTATTTACCCACTATTTACCCGTTTGGATAGCAAAAAACAGTCATTATCCCCTTACCTCTCGAAAATCACAAAATAACTATTTTCACACCAATCAATTACGTCAAAAATAATTCTAATCTAGGTTTATACATTGAATATTTTAAAAATTACCCATTCCGTAGAAACATTTTCCTTCTGTCCATTTTGTATTTCCGATTTCTGCTTCGTCACGAGGTATCAATAGACTGTCTTTTTCTGGATTTGCTCCATTTTGGATATACAGGTTAGTTCCAATCTCCGTGTATTCCTTATCACTTGTGTCAGGCGAACATACTGTAGCTATGAAATAAAGGAAACTGAATACAATAAAAGAAGGGCAACGTTACATATTCTAAATATAGGGCGTCGTGTTTGACTTGGGGTCGTGAAAATGGAAATAAGGGATACCAACATCGCCCTTCTTCAGTGAAATGCCATTCTATTAACTCACATGGATCAACAAAATACGCCGTCATATAGTTGAAACCATTCTCGTGTATAAATGGTGGCCTTACCCCATCAAAGGGATATTTATTTTCTTGTCCGTCTGGTACCTGGAAAATGAATGTAGATTTGATATAGTATGATAGGATGAACATTTATTTGTTGAATAAAATGAACATTTATATCTGAAACTTAGAGATCAATATGATACACAATAATTTCTTCCATCATATCAGAACAATAGCATAGTCACCATCTTTCACGTAACACTTCAATGGAGATCTGAAATTTCTGGACCAGACCCCCCTCCTCAAAATCATGAATCCGCCCCTGGTGATAGGTTGAACATTTATTTATTAAATTAAATGAACATTAATGAGAATTAAAGAACATTACGATATATAGACAATAATTACCCCAGCTTGAATTCCAGCGATGTTACCTTGATCATCATATAAAAGTACAACAGCGTGGTCACCATCTTTCACATAACGGTTTCCTCTAAAACTATCTGTGATATGAATTACCAAAATTACACTGAAAATTGATTCATTGGGGTGGAGGGAAAGAAGCACATGAAACAATTTTTTTCGATGATTTTCCAATGATTTGACCAGTTTGCATCGCCAATACCGCATTGTAGCTTAGATTTATATAGTGTTTTCAAACCTGGGGGCCCGTGAAAATATATTTTGGGGGTCCGCGAAGTCAAAGGCAATAAAGGGGGCCCGTGAAAAAAGGGTCGCGAAGGAAAATAGAGGATGAAATTCGTGGTATTCGAGGTTGTTGGGGTTGCAGATGTGAGGATCTTCGGAGATTTGTTAAATTTCGCAAGGGGTCCGCGGGTGGTAAAAGGTTGGGAACCACTGTTTGGTATATGGACCCCATATGTAATAGTATATGGAAATTTAAAACAAAGGAGACTGCACTATATCCACAGTGATATTTGTGAGACGCCTTGATACATATATTAGGCAATGGGCGGAAGTGGCGGTGGTGGGATTTGCAAAGGCAATTAAATTCTAATTTTAACAGTTGTACAACTCTCTAAAGTTAAATGTGAAAAACATAAATAACCAACCTATATCTTTACAACCAGATATTTTTGTGAAATCCTCTTTAATAGCATCAGCTTCAGTTCTCGGTAAAGCGTCAAAGTTGTTTGAAAATGGATTTAATCCAAACTTCACTGAAAGGTTAAATGAAATGGGAACTCGATAAGATATTCTTTTATTATTCAACGAATACCAATATACACTTAATAAATATGTATCTTGTTTATAAATACTTAGAACTTTTCTTTTAGACCATTGTATTTTATTCTTCAACGAATACACAATATACATGTACACATAATAAATATTTATCTTGTTATGAAAGCTTACTTACCTTTTAGACCATTCCAATCTGAAAGTCAATAATACTTTCATTAACAATTTAAATAATGAACACACCCATCTGTGTGCATTTCTAACGCCGTTGTAAAATGGTAGCTATATATCATATAAAATACTCTAGCCATGCGATCTAAAGATCTAAACAGACCTAATAATAATACGTAAAGAAAAAAATATATAAATAAAAAAGAAACACAAACACTTAATGAAAGAGTTATACAAATAATGCATGTGTTTTAACGCAGCCGTCATCATTAGCCCAGTTGGAGCAGAAATGTAGGACACTGTAGATAATAACCATGTAGTGTCACTTTGTCCCGTGTATATATTGGAATGCACGTAAAAGATCCCCTGGCAGTTGGAATTCGATATAAGAATATGCGATAGTGCCGCTGCCCGGGCAAAATTTCCCTCATAGCACACTGTATGGCGTATGCAGAAAAGTATAGGAGCAGAACAGTAGGACGTTAAACCCCATTTTATTTCATTTCATTTATAATAAATAACAATTTCACATGTAAGAGTAATCTTTATTGGGTTGTTTTATATAATCAATTGATATATATATAGAATGTAGATACATATACTTACTATTCCTTGAAAGGGAGTTGAAGAAGAAGGCATTGCTCTTAGCGGTAGTTGCCAAAATAACTAAAAGAGTTAAAATCTTCATAATGACATCAATTGAGAGCATTGTCTAATCCGTGCATCCGATTTCATTATATACAGTACGTTAATAACACCTGTTTTGAGTAGTAATAATACTCTGTTTAATTTTGATTCTAATGTTTTACTTATACAAATAATATAACTCGTGTTTGTGTGTTCATACCATGTTCGTTACTAAATGTGAAACACGCACCTGTCCACTATACAGAACTAATTGGAATAGATATTTTTTAAAAAAGAATCTGCTGTTGTGTCTGTCAATGTATGAATTCAAGAAATAACCCGAGATGTAATAGACAGAGACTGTTCCAAAATTATTGGGCTTATAGAGCAGGAGCCCAGGGGGTTAACCTAGCTGAAAAGTGTACCAATTTTCTCCTATATGGTATCAATGTATGTATATCTGGTATCATCAGAATGTAAGTCTGCCGGGTTTCTGGTGGTGGGTGCGGTATTCCACGCCCAAAATGCCATGCCCCCCCAACTAGTCTAGATTAGCTCAAAAGTGTACCACATGAAAATCGCACAGCAATGTACCGTACATCTTCAGGTATTACAAAAACACTCTGACAGACATTTCTAGTGGTGGGGTACCCCTGACAGAGCTATGTAATTGCCAGACATTTGTAGAGACGGAGTATCCCTGACAAGAGTTATCTAATTTCCAGACCAAAGCTAGGCTAGATTAGCTCAGTTTGTGCGGTGGGTTGCCTCTAACACGCCAAAAATAACACGAGCCCCAACTAGGATAGATAAGTCGGCACTGTTCCTGTGGTCCAAAATATTAAAAATTGTGCCAGGATGCGTAGAATACTAATACCTAGCACATATGGAAGAGGCGATAAACTGCGGTTGTAGGAACAATTTTATTTTTCAAAAACGCATTTTTAGCCCAATAAAATGTTTTTTGCCCAAAAATCAATTTCTTGCTATTGCAGTTTATCGCCTCTTCCATACGTGCTAGGTATTAGTATCCTATGCATCCTGGCTAAAAATCTAATTTTTTAGAACACGGGAACAGTGCCTGCGAAGCTAGCCTAGTTGGGGGCGTGGCATTTTGGGGCGTGTCTGTTAGGGGTAACCCACCGCATAAACTGTCTGGCAGTGGTCATTCATGACTCCTGTGGTGGTACTGAACAACTCCAAAGCTGTTTAAGGTGGTACAGATGTGAGCTAATCTAGCCTAGCTTTGGTCTAAATATTAGATAACTCTTGTCAGGGATACTCCACCACTACAAATGTCTGGCAATTACATAGCTCTGTCAGGGGTACCCCACCACTAGAAATGTCTGTCAGCTAGGTATTAGTATTCTACGCATCCTGGCACAATTTTTAATTTTTTGGACCACAGGAACAGTGCCGACTTATCTATCCTAGTTGGGGCTCGTGTTATTTTGGGCGTGTCTGTTAGGGGCAACCCACCGCACAAACTGTCTGGCAGTGGTCATTCATGATTCCTGTGGTGGTACTGAACAACTCCAAAGCTGTTTTAGGTGGTACAGATTTGAGCTAATCTAGCCTAGCTTTGGTCTGGAAATTAGATAACTCTTGTCAGGGATACTCCATCACTATAAATGTCTGGCAATTACATAGCTCTGTCAGGGGTACCCCACCACTAGAAATGTCTGTCAGAGCGTTTTTGTAATACCTGGAGATGTACGGTACATTGCTGTGCGATTTTCATGTGGTACACTTTTGTGCTAATCTAGACTTATCTATCCTAGTTGGGGCTCGTGTTATTTTGGGCGTGTCTGTTAGGGGCAACCCACCGCACAAACTGTCTGGCAGTGGTCATTCATGATTCCTGTGGTGGTACTGAACAACTCCAAAGCTGTTTTAGGTGGTTGTATCACTTTGGTCTTAAACCAGTAACGAGGTCTGGGCATAACAAGACGAGTGACTTCAAAAGATAGCTTTACTAGCGGCCATGTTGTACAGACTACATACGTAAGTAGAACGTGTATGGTAATTGTGTCACATGATATTATAATGAAATCACATGCTACATCTCCCTTCTTTTAGTGTTTACCTTTAGGTTGAAATAAAACATGTACAAATGTATATATCATGTGAACAAGTAAAACAATCTTTAACAGTTAAACTTTAAGTCATTTAACATGAACATAGAACTATAAATCAAATGTCTTATTGTTTAGTGTCACACATAGGTATCAAGGCTTGTTAGTCCATCACATAGTCTTTAAAACGCTGCGGTTGCTGAATAACTCTACCAGACCGAGTTACTCGTTGTTCACGATTCTGGGTAACACATTGAGGTGGAATATCAGGAACTTTGACAGGTGGTCTAGGAATTGCTGAGTTATCCACAGAAGGTCGGTTGGACTCTAGCGGAGGGGAGATATTGAAGCTAACACCAGATTTCCGTAAATGACGTCGATTTCTACGGTAGGATTTATTGTCCCCAGTAACCACGTTGTATGATCGCGTGTTTACATTTCCGGTTACTTTGGCTTTAAGCCAGGTCTGTCCACGAGCCTGACCTTGAGGTTGAACTTGCACCACATCCCCTTTCCTTAGTGGAGGTAGGTCTTTAGCACTCACGTTGTAGTACTTCTCTTGACGTTTCTTTTCATGGCGTAGTTTGGAGGAAAAGTTAGATACCTGTGGTTTTAGGAGTTTTTCGGTAGTTGGTAACAGTGTTCGAGTTCGTCGACTCATTAAGCGTTGTGCTGGACTGGCTGCAATGCCTTGAGTTGGTGTGTTGCGAAAATCCAGGATTGCAAGATACGGATCAGAGTTTGAGGCTTTCGCCTTCCGCATCAGGGATTTTGCTGTTTTGACGGCTTGCTCTGCTTTGCCGTTACTCTGAGGAAATCCAGGTGATGAAGTGTTAGTCTTGAAATTCCAGAGTTTGTTGAATTTAAGAAATTCTTCAGATGTGTAATATGAAGCGTTGTCAGAGAAGAAAACTTCAGGAATACCATGTCTGGCGAATTGGGATTTTAGTTTACGAATGATTGTAGCACTGTTAGTAATTTCAAGATAGTCCAACTCCCAGAAATTTGAGTAGTAATCTACAGTAATCAAATAATTATTACCGTCAAAAGTGAAAACGTCACTTCCTACTTTGGTCCATGGTTGACTTGGTAGGTCGTGTGGATGGAGTGTCTCCTTCTGTTGCTTCATACCAAATGATCGGCAGATATCACACTTGTCAACAAAGTCTTTCACAGCTGAACTCATTCCTGGCCAATATAAACAATCACGAGCTCTGCGACAACATCCTTCAATACCAACATGAGAAGCATGTATCCGTTGTAGCATATCACGTCTCAGTGACTGTGGAATGACAATTTGTTGACCTTTGAGAATAATTCCATTCTCCACAGTTAACTCATCACGGATGTTAAAATATGGTACCACTGCCGGGTGTAAACTGTTTTTATGCTCTTGCCCGCCTCTTTGGATAACCTGACTAAGAGCTTGTAGGTCGTTGTCATTTACTGTGTGGTCTTTAACATCTTGTAGACGTGTCGAAGTAATTGGGAGATTTGAGACTTGGTTGACGTTTTCCATTTCAATTGCAAAGGAGCTCGGTTTATCGGGAAGCGGTGCTCGGCTTAAAGTGTCCGCTAAGTACATACTTTTTCCAGGATAGTATACAATAGTTGTGTCATACACTTGAAGGCGGAGTAACATTCTTTGCAATCGTTTGGGGGCTTTGTTGAGAGATTTCTTGGCAATGATTTCCAGTGGTTTGTGATCTGACTGTACTGTCACGTGTCTTCCATACGTGTAATGATGAAACTTCTCAGAGACCAAAAATCACCGCCAATAATTCCTTCTCTATCTGCGCATATCTAGTCTCAGCGTCAGATAGAGTTCTGCTTGCGAATGCAACAGGCTGTCCATTCTGAAGAATTGCGGCGCCAAGCCCAGTGTCCGAAGCGTCGCACTGTAGCGTAAGTTCCTCTTTAGCATTGAAGAAGCGAAGAACGGGGTCTTTGCTCACCAGGGACTTGATTTGTTTGAAAGCTGCTTCCTGAGTGTTATCCCAGTGCCACAAAGTGTCTTTTAAGGTTAGCTGTCGCAAGGGCCCACACAGATCACTAAGCTGCGGTAGGAACTTTCCCAAGTAGTTGACAAAACCTAACAGCCTTTGTACAGCAGCGACATCTGTAGGTTTAGGCATGTCGACTACCGCACGCACCTTTTCTGGGTCCATCTTTAGGCCTTTGTCCGAAATTACGTGACCCATGAATATAACCTCAGGCCTTCGAAGTTTTACCTTAGCCAGATTCAGTTTAAGGTTTTTCTGTCGACAGCGTTCCATTAAGTTTTCCAAGTTTCTGTCGTGATCACGCGAGACGTCGTCGTACGTGGCGCCTTCACCGTAAACAAGTATGTCGTCATGTATAGATTTGACGCCTTTCAAACCTTCCAAGGCTTGTTCCTGTCTTAGTTCATAGACTTCAGGTGCGCTTGAGATGCCAAACGGCATTCTACGCCATCGATACCGGCCGAAAGGTGTATTAAAGGTTGTTAAGTACGAGCTGTCGTCATCGAGTTGAACATGCCAAAATCCGTTTTTAGCGTCAAGGGTAGAAAACACTTTGGCATTAGTGAGATCAGGCAATATATCTTCTACAGTGGGTATCGGGTGGTGGCTACGTTAAATAGCAAGATCCAAGTCTTTTGGATCAAGGCAAATTCTAAGTTTGTTTGGTTTCGACACTAAAACCATACTAGAAACCCATGGGGTCGGCTCAGTAACAGGAGCTAGGATATTTAAGTCGGTTAGTCTATCAAGCTCAATTTTGAGTTTGTCTTTGAGAGCGATTGGCACTTTACGAGGTGGGTGTACGACTGGAGTAACCGCAGGGTCAATATTAATCTTGTATTTACCCTCAAGTAGCCCCGTGCCCTTAAACACATCACTGTAAGTAGTAGACAACTGATCTACAGAAATAGGTGAATGTATCTTAGCCGACTTAGAGTCACTCACAGAAAGAATGTTATCAAAGTTCACTTGCACTAGGTTCA